TAACAAGTAGCATAAGTGCATACATCAACAAATGCAAAGCTCTTAAGCATAAAGGGACTCATTTTGATGAAGTCCCACATATTGCGTAGTGCACCCTTTGCTGTAATTTTGTATGTACATCATAAGCACAGCAATTATTCAAGCCTCTTTTTAATAAGATTCATTTTAATGAGTTCTATGAGGTAATTACAAATGCAGCATGGTATACTTCAGTAGCTACTCTTTATGCTTTTATTGAATAAATCCCAATTATGGAAACAAAAACATTCAGGCATTTTTAAAGGTTATTTTTATTAAGAAAACATGATTTGTGAAGTTAGGGTAGAGATACACCTTCATAGACTGACTAAATCAGAGATTCATAAGCTTTTGTGAGGCTGAAGCTTTGCTACCTGACTTCAGACTACCACTGTTAACTAACATGTTTACTTGAATATAAAATGACCTGGAATATAACATGACCCTTAAAAATTTGATTCTATATATGCAAAATTTATAAATTTATTATAAGTTTATTATAAGTTTCCAGGCATAGAATCTAATTATTGAACGTTTGCTTTGAATTTTGTCCCCTTCCCAATGCTACAGCAGGGGAAATAAGTCCTGTGGTTCAGGCAATCCCCTTACTCTCTGACCCCCTAACTTCTTTCAACTGCAGCCCCTTCCCCCACCTTACTGTCATATGCTGCTCTCCCTGAACACATGGAAGTGAGGGGCACATTTGAAAACACTAACTTTGAAAAAAAATATATAGTAATTTTCATATGAGCAAATTACTATGGGTACCTATAGACTATCAGTTCATCCAGAATTGATATGGTTAGGTGGGTGGCTAATTGGCTAATGGGATGCACCCAGAAAGTGGTGGTGGACAGGTTGGTCTCGACCTGGAAAGATGTGGGCAGTGGCCAATGCTGTTCAATATGTTCATCAGTGATTTGGATGAGGGCATGGTGAGCACACTGTCCAAATTTGCAGATGACACCAAATTATGGGACAAAGTAGACACATTGGAGGGCAGAGAATGGATTCAGGCAGATATAGACAGGCTGGAAAAGTGGGCAACAGGCAACATGGTGTCCCTTAGTTTCACTGTCTCCTGGATCTTCCTGTGGTTTCTCGTGGTTGCTGGGCCTGTGTTCTGCAGGTCAAACACACTGCGGCACTGGTTCAGGGCCTCGTAAAACCACGGTGCGTCCATTATCCACGGTCTATGGCTAGTCGGGGTGAATACCCCCAGTGTCTCAGAATGTGTCCTGCAAAGTACCTCATGAGATGAGCGGTTTTGGATCCTGCATCTGTCGCCAGCTTGCAGATTAGGCTCATATACTTGGCCCACAGGAACAGGAGGATGTCTGGCATGCCCCTGCCTCCAGCCCTCTCATCTTTGTATAAGGCCTTCCGGGTGACTTTTTACCATCTGGAGCCCCAGAAGAAGATGCGCATGGCCCTCTGGATCCTGTGGGCGACACGCTCGGAAGGGGAGCAAGACCAGTGCAGTCTACAGAAGCACTGGTAACACCGCCACCTTCACAAGCGCGATGCGGCCCCACCCCATGGAGAGGGAGTGCATGCACCACAGCCCCAGTTTCTGTTTTACCTTTGCCTCTGTCTTCTCCCATGCTGTCCTGCCGCTTAGCTTTGGGTCGAAATCTGTCCCCAAGATCCTGACCCCCTCGCAGAGGACAGAGACCGCCATGGACTCCAGGTCCTTGACTTTGCCCATGGCCAGGCAGGTGCTCTTGCTCACATTGAGCTTGGCCCCTGCTGCTGCCTCGTACACCTGTGTGTGTGCCAGGGTGCTCTCTACCGACCCCCTGTTCTGGCACAGGATGTTCGAATCATCCATGTTGGCCAGGACCTTGGTCTCTAAGTTGCTGCTTCCCGGGATGTGGACTCCAGATCCCTGGGTTCTGTCTCAGGTGCTGGCTAGGGGCTCAATGGCACAGATGAACAGGATTAAAGAGAATGGGCAGCCCTGCCGGACCCCTGACTCCACCTCGATCTGGGCACTCAGGAAACTGTTGATCTGCACTTCGCTGCTCACTTCCATGTAGGGGATCCTGATCCATCTGACAAAGGTTGCAGGGACTCCTACCCGCTCTAGGGTCTGGAACAGGAACTGATGGGACACTCTGTCATAGGCCTTCTCCAGGTCCAGTTTAGGCTGGTGATGCTCTGCCTTCTCTCCCTGCACAGCTGGAGTGTGTGTCTCATTTGCACCAGGGCTCCATGGATCTGACTCCCCAGATCCTGTACGACTGATCCTCGTGGATGACTGCACCTAGGACGGATTTAAATTACTCAGCCAAGACTTTGGCCAGCAGCTTGTAGTCGAAGTTCAGGAGGTTGATTGGCCTCCAGTTCTTCAGCTCCTCCCTCAGACCCTTCTTGTACAGGAGGGTTACGAGGCCCTGCTCCATCCCCGCTCACAGCCGGCCCTCCTGCAGGCGCTCTCAAAAGAGCTCCAGCAGGTCCGGGCCCACCAGGTAAAGGTCAGGTAAAACTCCTTGGGCAGGCTATCCGACCCAGGAGTCTTACTATGCTTGATAGTAGTCTAAAACCAAAAGGCTCATGATTTACTGTATAGTTCATTGGGCCAGGCCTCAGCAGAGTCAACAGCATTTCTAGCCATGGTGACCCTGTAGCTCAGCATTGCTCAGTATGTATAATGACTTCAGATTCATCCCCTTCCCCCCAAAAAGGATCCATGTGCTAATTAGCCACACATAATTACTTGTCACGAGTCCTGGGATCCTCCAAAAACTTATATGTAGATGAGGTGCAGGGCAACCTGGTCTGGGTCCATGTCATGGACGTTGTGGCCACATTAATTATACTGTGACAGGCTGAGAGAGGGGGCAACAAAGGGATTCTGGCTGAATTGTTTGGGGCTCTGTTTGCTGATGTTTGCCTGATTATATAAGACTAGTGAAGGAATGGGAATGTTTGGAAATGGGAAAGAAAGGTACAGCTCAGCTGTGGGAGTGAAGAAGTTGAAATGTACACAATCACCATGCCTTGAAAAAGAGTCAGCACTGAAGGGGACTGGGTATTACTATGTATCTTATTCAAATGGGTTTCACTAACCTATCCTTGTAGTAGGTTCCAATCAGTATGTTGCCTATCAGTTGGGGTTGCGTGGCGCTGATGAAGGTGGTGCCACTGCTGATGCTTCTATACAGTGACCCAGTGTTTCCTCCGTTGGAGCAAGTCATCCACAGAATCCAAAGAGCCATTTGTGTTTTCCTTTAGAACTCAACATTGGAGAAAGTGGCAAGGACCAAGCTGTACAAAACAAAATGATCCGGAGGCAGAGGGAATGCCAGACATCCTACTGGTCCTCTGGGCTAAGTACATGAGCCAGGTTTGTAAACTGGCAACAGGGGCAGAATCCAAAACAGCCCACCTTGTGTTTTGCAGGGCAGCTGCTGTGACAGTGGCAGGTGTACAGCATGACCAATGGGAGCCTGTGGGCCATGGTGTCCCCATAGTTTTACGAGGTCCTGAAATGCTTGCTTCTGGGACAAGTACAAACTGCATGATGTGGCCCTAGCAACCCTGGTGAACCACCGCAAGATATAGGAGGTGGTAAGAGCAAGAGACATCATATTGCCCATGGACTTTACTACCCGGTGACACCTGCCAGGCTGTGTGGATTGAATCTTCTACAAGGACCTGCAGAAGGAGCACAGACACTTGAACTGACAAGCAACATATTGGGCACTCCCCTTGTGGGTGTGGAAAAACAATGCAGGGCATGGAGGTCCATCCCATTGCCCAAGGCAAGCCTGTCAGTGGCAGACGGAAACAATTGACTACCTCTTCTGTGACTGCACTTTCGCCAAAGAGGTGTGGAAGAAAGTATGTGTGCTCCTTCTGCTGGTGACAGGTTATAGAACCCTGACCAGGGAAGTGGTCCTCTGTGGGCACTTGGCCAAAACAGCGAGGGGCCCCGACAGCTCACTTCAACCAGTTCATCTCTTGCTTCAGGCACACCCTGTGGAAGGTCAGAAACCTGCTCATAAGCAGGCACTCAGACCCCCACAGTTGAGGACTGTATTAAAATGGGGCTGAGTGAAATGTAGTGGTACTACAGGAAGACCAAAGAGGATGAAGGGAAAGAGAAGGTGACCTTATATGGAAGAGAGGGGACTGGCATAGACTTCTCAGAGGGAAGCCCTCGGAAGAGAGCAACGAGGAGAACAGTAAGGAATGGCGATGATGACAGCAATGAACACAAAGACTGGACAAACAGGAGGACAATTTGGGAGGGGGAAGGGAACTGAGGGAGCCTTTTATGAAACTGTGATGTTTTCAAGGGAGTGGTGATGGGTGCATGGTGCGAACTTTTTAACTGCGCTAAAATAGTTTAACCGTAAATGTGTTTTTGGTCTGCCAAGTGAACCACAGCAGTTACATGACAGGATGTTAAAGGTGCAGTTATATGTATATGTGTGTATATATATTAGTTGTGTATATATATAGAAATAAATATTTTTGAAAAAAAAATCAGTATGTTTGCCTAATATGGGCCATGTGTTTTATAGTCATGCTCACTGTTGGCTGCAGTTCATCCACTTCGTAGTTGGTTTCCATTAATGAGCACATGCTGCTTTTGGCAGCAGTTTAATGATAGACAGTGTATTTAATGAGATGTCCTTGTAAGTGAATGTAAGATGAGGAGCTTTCCCCCCTACGATAGTTAAGGGGAAAGCTTGTCTTATATTTGAGTATATATTTTATTTCTCTCTCTCTCCATGATTGTAAAGTGACATAGTAACTGTTATTGGACCAGTGTGTATAATTGGAAGATATAGGAGGCAATATCTTAGGCTTTAAGTGTCCTCATCATTTTTAAAAATTATTATACAGTTTGCCATTCTAAAAATAAATGAAGTTGCTTATGTTGTATACAAACTTCACTTAAAGCTTTGACTTGTTTTGAACATATAGAAAAATAAAAGGTAAAGATTCTTATTTTGTTTTCATGTCTTCAGGTTGTGCATCTGGCCCAGGCAAGTTTCCAGATTGAGGCCTTTGGTTCCAAATTCATCCTTGACCTCGCATTGAATAAGTAAGTGTACAGTTGTGGGTTCCCTGTTATTTGAAGTTGACTTTGTAATTATATGTACAGCAATTTATGTGAGAAAAGGTATTAAGCTGTGGCATGTGGAATTCTATGAGCATGGGAAAACTAAAAGGCTTCCCAAATTTATTGCTACAGTGAAATATACATCAAAGATGTAAGCTTCTATAAGATATATAATCAATTTTATTGTGTCCTAAAATGTACTTTCCTGTGAGGTTATGTTCCCATTCAGCAATCTTTGTATGTATATTTTTTTGTAAAGAGGGGAAAATAGGGATAATATATATCTATAATTTGGGTCCTCAGGAACCCAGACATAACAAAGCTGAAAACCCAACGAGTATTAAAAAGAAATAAGCATGATGTATACTATTAACATTTTATTTCAAAAAGAGTTGCTCGAAGTATAGGATTCACTCTGCTACTCAAAAGTAGGCATCTCTTGGCTCTGAAGTGGCAGCCAAGAAGAAAACTGACAAGTCGGATACTGCATAAGAATAATAAAAGAGACTTCCTGTTTTTTGTTTGCAGCTTTGATCTTCCTGTTGGTAAATGTTCTGTCTGGCTGTATTTTCTTTGGAAATTACCATTGCCTCCAAGTACCTGATTATTACATAGCTGCCTGTTTCACATAAATTAACTTTAATTTATTTATCTAGGGTTTTGCTCAATTTAGTTTTTCCTTAGACTGATGTCTTTGCACCTTTCCTTCTAGTCTCTCTGGATAGAACACAAGCAAATGGTAATTATTAATAAATAACTAGGAGTGCACCCATAAAGTTTTTTTGGGGCTGATATTCATCAACGATTATTAACAAGCCATATCAGCTGATACTGATCTGATTTCTGATATGCAGCCTGGCAGCTTAGAGAGCAGCATCCAGCTGGTAAGTCTGTTGAGGGAGAAGGGGCAGGGGGAGGGAAGGAGTGCAGATTGAGCCCCCCACCCCGGTGAGGGAGGGGAGGGCTGGGGCAGGTGCTGCCCAGCTGGAGTAGGGTACAAGATAGATCTGCGAGCATGGGGAGCTCAACCAGCCTGCAGAGCTGTTTGCAAAAGCAGGAAATCTGCAGGTTTTTCTGCTAAAGGAGAAATCTGCATTTTTCTCTGATAAAAAGGGAAAATCCATGGTTTTCTCTGTTTTTCCATGGGAAATGGAAAACTAAGATCCCTGGCTATAACTATGGTACTGTGCGGGTAGTCTTTGGCTAAAGGATGAAATCACTGAGGGCTTGGGAGACTAAGATTCAAATCCCTGGTCTGAATTGGGGAGAGCAGAGATTTGAATGTTGGTTTTATCCACCTGAGGTGAGTGCCCTAACCACTCTTTTCCTGGATGTCCTTTAGTAGGTCACTCTCTTTGAGTTTGACCAAAAATTCCTTCCTGAATGTGAGGAAGCTTTTCTGTTGGAAGTGGTGTATATGTCCCTTGAAAAGTTATGGTTTTGATAAATCTAAAGCTTTTTAACAAGAAGCACTTAGTCAGAAAATTCCCTAGCAGCTGTAATTCATGCTACCGTATTTACTTGATTAAAAGACAGTGTTTGTTCTCCATTTAACATGGGCGGGGGGAGCCCCATGTTTTAGAATCAAGTATGTGGCTCTGGGGGGTAGAAGCAGTGTGAAGAGAGAATGGGATGGGGGTCTGAGACTGTAGGGGGTAGGCATGGGGTGGGGGGTAAGAAGGGGGAAACAGATGACCAGAGACAAATTGCATGCCTCCCTCACCTCCTTCACACTGCCTGTCTCCTACCACCTGCCTGTCCCCCATTGCTCCTTCCACCTCTTACCCCCCTTACTGCCTTCCCAATTACCCCACCACTGCCTGTCCCATTAATGCCCCTCACCTGCCCTACTGTGTGCCCCCGCCACTGTTTCCCATCCCTTGGCCTGCCTCATTACTGCTCCACACATTGTCTGCCCCCCACCTCCTGCAGTAGGGGGGTTATGAATTTAAGACCATCTCCCATAATTAGATTCTATACATGGAAAATTATAATAACATCTATACATTTTCCATGTATACAATCTAATTATAGGGGGTCATCTTAAATTCAAGGTTGTCTTAGATTTGGGCAAATATAGTATTTTCTTTGTAGGCATAAACTAATATTTCACTTTCTTTTTATATAATTAAGAAGGAGACTATTTCAAGTTCTTGTTTTATATCTATATCTTAAAATAAAATGTTGTCAGATTTCCAAAAAATATTTCTAGGTTTAGTTCACATTAATTTAGTAAAAACTGAATATTGTGATGAAGGTTATGTACTATACTGTACATATATTTTTCAGTGTAATTTGAATTTGAATAACACACAAGCTGTAATATAGAAGTGTGCACAACTTTGTGCATGTCCTTTCATAGCATCTGATGAAGTGAGGTTCAGCCCATGAAGGCCTGTGCTATATATGTATGTAACTTTGGTTAGTCTATAAGGTGGAAATCAATCCTGACTTCAGCTAGAAGTATGCCAATCAGGCCTCTTTGGCATTGTTCATAGTGGTCACTCTCAAACATTCTGGGGTCTCGAAAAGCCAGGGCAAAGCATCTTCACTGTTGCATTTTCAGGTTTGGAGCATGTGTACAGGAGTGGGTGGGGAATATTTAGGAATGGCCCTGCTAGGACATACCGCCAGTGTGGTGTACACCAGCCCTTTATCTGATTTGCCCTCTGTGTAAAAAGTGGTCATTACTTTTTTGGAAATTATTTGATATATCAGTTTATTTAGTTTTTTGTGTGTGCTAGTATTATAATCACTTTGTCTCATTGGTATGAGCAATCTTAACACCATCAGACATGTGTATAACATCTGGTGAGCTGGAGGCTATTGTAGCAGTCTCAAGAATAGAGAGCATCATAATGTTTTGAGCTGCATGTGAAGTTTATAGTAGAACTAAATTTCAATTGGGAATTATTTCATTGGTACAAGACTTACAGATTTATAAGGTGAAAAGCAGATTAAACACAGTTACCTATTCATTTTACTTGATTACATTACCTTTGACCTATATCCCCATATCTGTCAATATGTTAATAGTTGTATGGCGCTATCTATACTTCTACAGATAGTAAGAATGCTCACATGTGTAGTGACACAGAAAAGGTGATATTTAAGGAAAAGAACTGGGTATAAAAAACAGGTATTAACTCCCTAACATGCAAAATTCTGTAAACCTTGCATAAAAATTGCATATGCAGCTTGTGCTGTACTAACTTGAGCATTTCAGCACACTTAAGGAAAAGTGAATTAGCAGAAATAAGTATTTCAATATTAAAGAAGTATTGTTCTATTCTTCAGGTCCAGTTGAGGTCTAATTTTGGTCATTTTGTCAGCAATTTTCAAAGTTTGTTGAGGGGAAAATGCAAACTAATCACATTTGTTGGGTATACAAAGCAACAAGCTGTAGCTTTTTAAAAATTTGCTGAAACACTGTGTTCGCAGATCTGATGTTGAAGAGCTGAGTAGCAAAATGTTTTTTGTAAAGGTGAAATGGAATGCTTTTTCCTTCCCAAACCTGAATTGAGTGTCCTGTTTCTCTTGCAGCTCTACCTTTTTAAAAGAAATGAAACAATGATTGAAAAGCACAGGAGACTGAAAGGAGGTGAAATGTACTCAGTGGTTGTTGGAAGCAGGCAGGGTGGAAAATTGGGAGAAAGGAAAAGAAGCCTGAAGATAAGTGTTTTGTGGGAATTGTGGAGGCCTCACAGGGGCTTAGCAACAGAGACATTGGTATGTAGGATGGAGTCTAAGAAAGCTATTAGGAAGATGTTAGGTAGAAGGACATTGAACTAACTCTTGAGAGGCACTTAAGAGCTCAAGTGAATGGGGAACCCCATAAATGTTTCAGTTCAAGGCTGTTAAACATTGTCTTGAGATTTCCCCTTGTTTATTTGGGTCCCATACTGAGATAAAAACAAACGTCAAATTATTAGAAATTCCATTCTTTAATATCGATATCTGTTCCGCTCTGAGTGTGCATGTTCCCTAGGCACTAAAGAAAAGGATCTTTTGGCAAGCAGTGCCCATTGGCTTATGTCTATATAAGCCAGGTACTTTCATGACCTCCTTCCTCAGAGTAAAGGTTGGACTGGGGGCAAATTGCTACTCATTTCCTTTGAGCTGCAGCCTGGACTGAGATGAGATAATTAATTCCACCTAAATTGGGTTAATGACTACACTAAATGTTTGTTTGGTTTAGGTTAGGGATGTATTACAGTCAGTGCAAATTAAATTAAAAAAAACTAAAGATGCAGCAAGGGTCCAGATTATTTTGTCTACTAGTGCATCTACTCTATGATCCCAGTAGAAACTGCAGCTTATGCAGGTATACCCAAGCCAGCTTTATATTTGAACCATGGGCCTCATCTTCTTTACCCATCCTTCAAAGAAAATAGTCTTCTCAATGGCATTTAATGACTGCTGAGAGAGCAGAAAAATTAAAGCCTAACGTCAGGTCCACCATACATGATTTTCTTAGAGATAATCTTAGGCTGAATCCTAGTTTTGTTCCTAAACTGGTTAGTAACTTTTGTATGAACTAAACAGATCACTCATTTACCATTTTTTTTCCCACTAAAACTCATAGGTCCTAAAATTATGTTCTCCCACCTCCTAGCATGAATTTAGTTCTTGAAAATTGGTAAGAGTGGAATACATATAGACAATATTTTGAAGAATAAAAGACACAAGAACATAAGAAGTGTAATCCTGGGTGAGGCTAGTGGTCTATCTAGCTCAGTATCCTATCTCTGACAGTGACAGAAGTGAATGCTTTATAGATAGAGTATTGAACCAGATATCTCTAGTGTGATCCATCTCCTATTCAAGACCCTCCCTGGCATTTATTAGGGTGGAGATGCCAGAGGAAACATCTCCAACCATTCTGTTCAATGACCATTAATAGATCAATCATCCGTGAATTTACCTAGTCCCTTTTTGAACCCGGCTATGCTACCCACCATCTTCTGCCGCAGTGAATTCCA